AAGCCAGCTAAGATTTTCTGTTATCTTGCACGTTTTATGAATCTATTCACGTCTAAATGCAGCACTTTTTTTTTGCAATGAGGCATGTTTTTATACTAAAATATCTGAATTACTTTGAATAAAGCTGGAAATGTCCCTTAAAATAATTAAACCAGTAAGGCACCAATGTTTTTGTAAGATATTTACATCTTTAAAGGACATTCGGTAGACTGATTCCCCACTGTTAGTTCAACCCCAAAACTTTTTTGTATTCAAAATTAATTATGACAATGTATATTTATATTGAAACAAACTATGTTAAAGGGAATTATATTATATAACAAAGGGCAAGGTCACCAGAGTTCAACTATGTTTCTGGGATTGATATTTCACATGTACTTGATAATGGGAATACAATAAAATGACAAGTACCAGTATACATGTACATACATATGACATGCAGCCACCCACAGACAGACAAACAAATTTTAAAATATACCATTGATCACACGATTGGGCAGTTAGTTAAAGCTTACATGTTGTAGGCAGAGGTGTGTCTATGGTCAAAATAACATTTAAAATTTAATTATGCAATTTTTGGTTTATATAAAATTAAATATTAATATACTGTTAAAGTGTTTAATTTCAGTTTCTAGTTATTAATGATATACTGCATTATAATACATGTAATATAGAGCATATTTATTTTAAACATTAATATTAAGCATACTGGTACTTATTTTAAACAGGCCAAAATAGTTCTGGTCAACGTATACTGGAAATGTTTACTCAGGCTAGTTTGAAATAACAACATGTATTACAACATAAATGCCTCAGTGGATTTCACTTGTTCCACTTTGTAACTCTCAGATTATACATGTCTGTGAAACACTACTACATAGTTTGTGGTAACTTAACACGATGCAGCATGTAGTAAATGTGTTAGTGTTGAGAAAAAGAAAATCTTGTTGGTAGGAAGTTAAAACCAGGAGTAACAGCACTACATAAAATTGTTGAAGGTCAAATTTGTATTTTGTTTTAAAAGTGTTATTGATTTATTTTATTAAATGGATTTTAATTATTGGTATTATACACAAGCCATTACAAGTATCTTTAGTTTTTATCTTAGGGACGACGTCAAAAGATCGATGTCGGATAACAAACTTAATTCCTTTAGTTTTTTTCCAAACCCCCCTATCCCCCACTGAAACTTAATTGATAAATATTGGTCATGGCGTCAGACTACATTCACCATTAAATACAAATTGATAATCGGACAGTAGTATTGCATAGCAGTTGGTTGTCGGGTGGGTGTAAAAAGATTTTACATTTGACGCACAGATTTACACTCGAACCAAATCATTTTTCTGGGTTTTTTTCTTTTTCGGTTATTTCTGTCCATGATTGGATAGAAAAAAACGAACTACAAATACTTCAAGATTTTTTTGACTTCATTAAAAAATAAAATCGTTTTTGTAGGATGGAAACTTTTTGAGGTCAAAACCCCCCACCCCCAAACTAAAGGAAATAAGTTTTTTATCTGACATCGATCTTTTGACGTCGTCCCTTACCCAGTACAAAAGTTGTTTTTGAAAAAAATATTTCCATATAATCTATGTTAAAGCCTTACGTCATGAAAAAATAGTACATGTGTTCAACAGAATGCCCTTACCTGTCTGTATGCTACTGAATAGAATTTTAAGATATGAATCCTTTTACACAGAGGAGCCAATGAAAATTTGTCCATTTGATTCAAATTTGGTACAAAACCCAAACATAATAAAAGATCTGGTAACCTTTGACCAACTGGTGGCCATTTTAGTCCCAAAAAGTACCTGAAATCACCATTTCATGTTATGAAGTGTTTCTCAGGCATTCCTGGACTGTTTTCCCACTTGGACATTAGTCACATTAGTCATGGTGGTTTAGTTATGCATGTCATTTTGTCGCACAATCTGATTAAAAATGGCTGACTGTTGGCCATTTTGTTAATTATACAAGTAGTCTACATGTTTCTTATGTACACTTTTATAGATTTTATTAAAATTTGGTACAACGGCAAGACATATCTGTTTTGTGATGTGATTTTTTGGTTTTACTGATATACGGTACACTTATGACCAGTTTTGTTCAGGAAAGTCGGATAGCTTGTTTTCATGCTGAATTTTCATCTGTATTTTCCATTGTTTATAAATTTGTAATTTACTATTAAAGTCACTAAATTCTAGACGATAATACCGGTAATAATTATTTGGTTTTTGTGAAGAATAGCATAAAATAAAACTGTATAGTAAAAATCAAGAAAATCGGATAATCTGTTCTAATGGTAGTTATCGTAAATGTACATGTATATTCTGTAAATTGAACAATAATTCACCAATCATGACCAATGCATATTAAATCAATACTTTGTTTGTCTATAATGTATGGAGATTGCGATGTGTTACATACAAAAGTAATATAGCACAAAATTTGCAGTGTTTTCATGAGATTCTAGTTTTAGCTGAACTAACTCTGCAGTGAACATTGATTGGTAATTCATTCACAAATAAACTGATCTACACATATGTATTAGGTTTTCGTAAAATAATATGAGATTATTGCGAGAACACCTCAAGTATGCACAAAGACAGTAAAGCTGGAGTATCGACCGATGCGCAGCGGGTATACTGTCTGAGTGCATACGTTGAGGTATTCTCGTAATAACCTTATTATTATACATCTTTTCCTTCCAAGGATACATCATTGGAATACCGAAATCCAAAAAGTTTAGAACAGAATCAGTGAACATTTTTGTGTGGAGTCCCGTCAAACTCTGGTGGTGCCATGTTTGTTTTTATTCATAGAGGACACTTATACACGCAATCATTCCAAAATTTGAAAGGCGCATTTTCTTATGTAGTAGGATAAAAATACCCTGTAAAATACCGCAAAATGATGTCACGCTGTAACTTATGGCGTTACGGTGACAGATGTATAATAATATTTATTATTATTTTTCACAGGTATAAACTGCCAGATAAACACTGATGATTGTACGACTGATTCATGTCAGCCACCATTTGAGTGTGTTGATGGTACCAATGGATTTACATGTGAATGCCCTAGTGGTCAGCAAGGTGAGTGCATACCCCTAGTTA